TATGACACAATTTTAAAATTATATTTATAAATAAATAATTTATGATAATTAATCGACGCATCGCATGGGTTTATATGCTCATTACATCTATTATCTATATAATATATAAAAGAAGAGCGGTTTGCATTATATGGAAGCCAAGTGTTAGTTTATAAAATTGTCACGTGTGAGGAGAAACAGTAGGGACCAACAAGTTTGATTAATTATTAAAAATTGAAAAACCAAAAATATGAACAGTAGGGACAAACAATTAAATTTTGACCAACAATTAATTAGTACAAACATTTTCTATAGAATCATTCAAATTAGATCTTTACGTTTTCTACAATAGGTACCAATAATAATATATACTTACAGTTTTTTATTTTTTTTTATATTTTATATTTTATATATTTTATCATTTCCCACTCAATTATATTTTAACATTTTCTCTCTCCCAACTAGACCAATAGTATATGAAGGATTTATCCAGACGCGTGCCGCAGCTGTGCTCTGTGACCTACTTCTATAAATAGATCTTTTTCTCACGTTTGAGACAACTTGGGACAATTTTTGAAAACCCTAAAAACATATTGTGCGGCCATATTTTCCTCCAAAAGCTCTCTTGAGTTCGTTTGAAGGAAAATTGCCATTAGATATCAATTTTAGGTGAATTAAATCAAAAAAAGAGAGAAAAAAATCAAAAGACAAAAGAAAGAAAAAAAGATCAAAAAAGACAAAAGAAAGAGAAACTTTGAATCCTTGGAAACAAAGCTTCTGGGAGATCTTAACTATCACTTGTTAAGACATTCAATCCATTTACAATCCTCAATCTGAGGATTAGGTAATCTCTTTTACCATTCTTTGTATTTTTTTTACTTATTTTTGTGGTTTTAGTAATTTAAGCTTCATTAAATTGTATTATGTTCATATTTGGCCATTTTACGAGTTTTTAAATCATATTTAAATAAAAAATAATCTAAATAAAGCGTTTGAAAATGAGCTTGGGCCAGAACAGCTGCGTCACGCAACTGTTAGCTGTGTGACACAACTGTTCTAAGCTTCCAGAGTTAATTTCTTCAATAAATCTGAAAAAAATGACCAATTATGAACAGATTGCAATTTAATTAAGTTTAGAATATTAAAATGTAATCTGGGTGACGCAACTGTTAGCCTGTGTGACAACAACTGTTTAAGCTTCCAGAGTTAAATTTTCTTCAAAATAAATCTGAAAAAAATGACCAATTATGAACAGATTGCATTTAAAATTAAGCTTAGAATACTAAAAATGTGATTTTATGTATTTGTTTGTAATGAATTTTATAATTTCAGTTTAAAAGAAAAAAGAAATTAAATTTAAATTAAATTTGTTGATTTATTAATAATTTGCATGTTTAGGATTAAATTAAAAATAAAATGTGATTTTAGATGTTAAATAATAATTGTGCATGATTTTGGTTTTTTGGTTTTTGGGTTTATTTTTGAATCGGCTAGAATTGTATTTTTAGGTTCGGTTTGTAGCCCACCTTGAACCATAAGGCAAGAGCGAGTCTTTTATTTAATTGACTTAATTGCTTTGGTTTGAATGATTTAAATGGTTATGGATGTGATGATTGGATTTGATTGGAACGATTAATTAATTTTCCATATAAGAACTCGGTCCGATTCATTTGGGTTGGGTTTAAATAAATAAATAACTTGGCTTTTCTAACTTTTCTAAATTAAAATAAATTAGAAATCGTAGGTTAAAAGAGGCCAGATTTTCCGGGCCTCGGCTTCCAACGGGCCGCCGTACCCAATTCCCTTACCCGCAGTTGGTTGCGCCTGACCAGTTTTCAAAAATAATTTGGCCATAAATTAAAGTCGGGCTTTAAAATGGGAGTCACTTTTTATAAAATAAAATTGAAACTGGTCCCATTGCCGAAAAAAATAGGTGGCGACTTCAAAAATATTTTATAAAAACGATTATAAAATAAAATTGGAAACGGTCCCATTGCCGAAAAAATAGGTGGCGACTCAAAAATATTTTATAAAACCGATTTATCGGCATCGTATCTAATGAAATGTTTTGTCACCACTGTTCAAAGTAAGATCATTTTCCATCAAAAACAAAAAAAAAAGTGACGTTTTTCATTTCGCTCGGGGGCGGTGCGAAAACACCCACTCAATTATATTTTAACATTTTCTCTCTCCCAACTAGACCAAACACCCACTCAATTATATTTTAACATTTTCTCTCTCCCAACTAGACCAACAGTATATAACTTAATTTTTTTTTTCAATGACACAAAAATAAATTTTAAAAAACATATTTCATTTTTTATTGGTAATAAGAGAAAAAACTTGGTTGATTAGTATCATATACCTAGAGCTAGGTTGCACGGACATGAGACACGAGATACGGAAACGTACAATATACGATAATTTTTAAAAAAGTAGGGCATCCACACACTTAGGACACACTAAACTAAATAAGTAATACATTAATATTTGAAATAAATAAATAATCGTTTATAATAAATTATAAATAGGGGTGTTAAAATGAGTCACAACACGCAAACACGATTCACCTAACATGCAAAATAAACGGGTTAGGGTTGAGATTAAACGGGTTCGTGTCATAAACGGATAACCAATTTATGATACTCTAACTAAATTCCTATTAAACTTTATTGTTGTATTAATTTTTTTATTATTTTAGTTATGAATCTTGAAGAATCTATGCATTTTATGTATGAAAAATTATTTTTAAATGTGATTTGAATTAAATAAGTTAAAAATTTGAAAATACTATAAGCAGGTTAAGTGGGACGTATACAGGTCAACACGACCCACTTAACCTGTTTATGATATTAGGCGGGTTACACGAATAATATACAGGTCAACTCGACCCATTTAACATACTTATAATATTAGGCGGGTTACACATGTCATGTTCGTATCACCTGCCTAATTTTTGTATCGTGTTCATGTTGAGAAATTTGAAACGATTATTAAATGGGCCGTGTTCGTATTAAATTTAATTGTGTCGCGTGTTAAGCAAATTTGTATCGAACCTGACCCACAACCCATTTTGACACCCTAAACTTAAAATAAAAAAAAAGTTTTAATTTATTATTTCAATATAATTAGTTAAATTCTCAAAATTATTATCACTATTAAAAATACAATAATACTGTGTATACATTCTTTTATATAAGTCATATCATCTATAACTTTTGCTATTGCATGCCTTATGAAAGACTTCGCAGGAAAGTTAATAAGATATATCTTAGTATTGCAACTTTTCAGCATATCTTAATGAGATACGATTTATCGATTTATCATTTTATTATATAATTTTACTATTTTTGAATGATGTTATAAAAGGTTATTTCATCTTTTAATATTGCTCTGCGCATTATGCGGGTTCTAACACTAGTTATGATAATGAAGGACAAATTTTTAAATTTTTTGTCAAATACTAGACATATATGGTGGTGGTTTGCACCAATTTTTATATTTATGATAATTATAATAAAAATATTGAATTTTTATATTTTCTTTGAAAAAATAATAAAAAATTATATAAGAAATAAATTAAAAGTAATCATTCTAACAAGCATGTTCAACAAGTAACAATACGCAACACATTTTTGAATGCTAATAAAGGACTCTGAGGAAATAATGTGATTTACGACGGCACCTTTAATGTAATTTAAATATACTAAAATAACTTTAACTATTATTTAAAATTTTTACATTTATTATTTGATTAGATATAATTTATTAAAGTATTTTTAAATAAATACATATAGACAATTAAACATTTCAAAATTTTAAATTTTATCTTTTTGAAATTTATTTTTTAATATATATATAAGACATTTGAAAATTTTATATTTTATTTATATATATAAGACATTTGAAATTTTATATTTTTTGCAAATTTATTTTTAAATATTAATTCTATTTTTGATTATATTTTTAAAAGCTTTATTTAGGAGAGGAAAACATTTCAAAATTTTAAATTTTATCTTTTTGAAATTTATTTTTTAATATATATATAAGACATTTGAAAATTTTATATTTTATTTGCAAATTTATTTTTAAATATTTAATTCTATTTTGATTATATTTTAAAAGCTTTATTTAGGAGAGAAATAAATAAAGAAAAAAATATATTCTTTTTATTAATATTATTTTTACTTTATATTTATATGCTTGATTGAATATGTTTTTTAAAAATTAATTTTTAAATAGAATGTACAAAATTAAGCTTATGTGTATGTAAATGACGAATAGTTAAACTTTTATTTTTAAAAATATATATAATATTGTTATATTTATATATCTATATACAAAGTTGAAATAAAAAGAAATTTTATAAATGTCGACTTGATATTGTCTTTTCTCAGCATTTTATTTTCTCTCTTTTTACAAATTTTAGAAATAATTACATTGTCTTTTTAGAAAATTTTGATTGGATGATTAATTTACCTGTTATACAACTAATTAATCAATTAATATATATTTAAAAGATAATTGTTAAATAATTAAAAAGCATTTTCTATATTATATTCTTTATATCTCTTTTTCCTTTAATTAAATTTGAAATCCATAAATCAATAGATATATAAGACAATAAACTGTGTTATGTCTTTTGCAGTTTTTTTTTAGACAGGAAGTAAATCTACTATTGGATGTTAATTGTATATTTAAATTTTTGAACATAAACTTATATACATATATATATTGAAACGTATTTATTATGCGATATTTTAAAGTTGTGTATATACAGCTGAAATAAGCCGATTTTAAAATTTTAATAGTTTTCCTTATTAAATTCTAAAATTTGATTTTAATGATATCATTAAAATTTGATTTGTAACAAAATAGAATTTTGTAAGAATAATAAAACAAGGAAAACCAAACCAGACCGATCGAACCAAGCATAACCAATTGAAACCCGTTAAAATCTAGAAGTTTCCGTTTGAATTGAACCGCACCCGTGATTTGAGCCCAACCAGATATACACCAATTAAAACAGGAGAGAGAAACAACCAAAAAGGAAAAATAAGCCCAAAACTCCTCTCCCGATTGCAGCACCGCGATCTCCTTTCCTTCCCCTCCCCGATCAGTGTTTTGGCCACCAGTTGTCGAGCCCAAGGCGGCGATCGACGCTCCGAGCGACAGCGACCTTGAATCCGGCCACCCATTCAACGATCGAACCCTGCTCCACGCGAAACAAGGCTCTCTCCTGCGACGCTGCTACCTCCTTCAAAAGTTCTCTCTTTCTCGAGTTTCCGGCGAGCTCAAGCATTTCCGGCGATTCTCTGTACTCAGGTTGGTCGACACTCTATGCTTTTGATTAACTTATTCTTGATTGATTTGGTCATTGAATGACGGTTGAAGGGGGTTTAGAATTTAGGTTTCAATTTGAATAAAATTCTGAGATTTTGATAAATTAGGCATTGGATAGTGACATTGATTTGGGAATTGAGTTCTACATGAAAAACCATGTCTAATATTTGAATCTTGTGGAATTCGATAACCACCGATTCTCCGTGGTGGTCGGAAAATATTACAGTAGGCAGAATGCCGTTTACAAATAATAATGTGAAATGAAGGACAATTAGCGTAGGCCCCCAAAACGAAAAGGGATGATCGGCAGGAGCAGCAAAACAAGATTCTGTTGTTAAACAACCCCATAATCAATAGCCACCGACAAACTAAGGATCCAAATAGCCAGCCAAAAAGGAACAAATACAGCCAGAGAAACCAAATCAAGCAAACACGATTAGAACCGAGTTTAACATAGGAAAATTCAGTCCAAAAATTACCAAATCAAAGAAACAAACTATAATAACATAAGTTCAGAAATTTAATTTGTTTAATGAGGAAAGAACCTGAAGTAAACTGAGAGTCAGAAACATAGCTAAATGGTAAAGGGTATTGGCTAAGCTCAATTGAAATAGCACTGAATAGAAATCGCAAAAAAGAAACACAATCTAGAATTCCATAAACTTAACTTGTTAATGAATGGAGCAGAATGCACAGAAGAGATGAAGTGAGGTTGAGTGTGCAAAAGTCGAGGATATTAACTCATTTTTATTTACCAAGATATCCTCACTTTTCTTCCAAATTACAAACATATCTATAGCATATGAACCCCCAGGTGCCTGAGACAGCAGCCAATTCTCTCATATGGCTGCCGCCTGATGTCAACCTAATTGTCTCCTGCAAAGTTCATGTGCACTTCCTCTGTCGTCTCGCTTCCTTTGTCTAGCAATTGAAGATGATGACTTCCAGAATGTTGTTTAGCTCTTTTGGAGTTCATTTCTATGCCATTATTACATATTCCATCTTGATTCGTCTACGAACTCATTGCATTATTTTACTTTTTGGCCAGAGAAATTGATTGCTGTTGGACCAATCTCACACGGGAGCTTCTCCTCCAGCTGATTCAGAGCTTGCAAAATGTCATCTACAGGCCCTGGACTTGAGTCTCTTGTAGATCGTATGTTAATTCTTTAACAACTTTTTTTTATTGCTTTTGATATTTCCCAGTTTCTGAATTCAATGCCTTTTCTTTGTATCCAACTAGGCCTTGCTTGCTGATTTAGGTATAGAGGTTTAAGCCTCCCTAAAATTCAAACTTTGATTCATGAAGCAATTTGAAAGCCATTTGATAAAATATTGTGTTATTTGGAAAGCATGTTAAACATTAAGAACTTATTTTGAAATTTCATAAGATGATAGAATAAATTCGTAAACCAGCAATCTATGAAATAAAAATATGTTGGAAAATACTGGCATGATTAATTAAGAATGAAAGCATAATTCTGATTGACATTGGTTTTCTACAACTTGACAAGAAATATATACAGATAGTGTTGTTATCTCGTAAGCATGGCCTCAATGAGTCGGGTAAAACAGATTGCAAGTTTTGCAACATGAAAGGATGTCTAGGCACTCATGAACAGGGTGTTTTAAGGTTATGGGAGTGTACTTTTTGAGGTGCTTTGTTATGGTCCCAAATTAGGATCTAGTTATGGGTCTTTGAATTAGGGGAATCAGGTTTGAGATGGGTATCTTAGAAGGAGTTTTCTTCCCTCTATCAGTGGTGACAGACTTAGAGAGAATCTGCAATCTCCTAGAGTTATGGCGTTCTTTTGAATTAGGGGGGAATCGTTTGAGATTGGGTATCCTTAGAAGGAGTTTTTCTTTCCCTCTATCAGTGGTGACAGGACTTTAGAGAGAATCTGCAATCTCCTAGAGCTCGTTTAAGAGAGAACTCTACAATCTCTGAGTTTTAGGAAACTCAAAAAACCTTTTCATTAAAATTTCTGTACCATTTTTTCCTGATATAACAGCCTTTTAAACAACTAATGGCTAAGCTAAAACTACCCCACTACCCACAATAACTAACCCATTACAATAAAGTTACTTGCTTTAACCCACCCCACTAATAGCACTAAACAAAGAAAACTGATTAATAACATGATAAACACTGAATAACTAAATAAAAACACCGTAAATAGCAGTAAAACTACCCTAAGGTCAAGCAGCGCCATAACATTACACCCATCCTCGAAAAGCGCCTTGTCCTCAAGCGCCCAAAAGGATGAGATGACATGCCAATCTTCAAAACTTGTTGAAAATGTTGATGCAAACAGAATCCTTATTACCCTCTATTATTTCTGCAAAAAGGAGCTGTTTTATGTGCTTCTATATTTAATTAATATTCCTGGATCAAATGGGCTCCTCTAATGTTTCCTCTATGTCATTCTCGAATGGCTTTCTTCCCACTCCCTTCCCATTAGAGGCTGCCAAATCACAAGCAAGGCACCCCCTAATTGTGGCTAAACAATTTGATTGTTTGATTATTTCTTTCTTTTGCTCCTTATTTCTTTCTTTTGCTCCACTCTATCTTTTATACACAGAACTATTGAGACTTGAAACATTTGCTGGAAAACTATACGCTCTGCGGCAGTTTTAGGTTGTTCCAATTTTGCCAACTTTCCTGAATTATTACTCATAGGTGGTCCAAGAACATCCAACTCTGTCAATTTTGAAATAGTTGTAGTGCCCTTAGGAGATTCTAGACGGGCTGAACCTACTGGACCTTTTGCTTTCGGTGCTTAACTTTTAGCACTTGAAGAAGTCAGCCCCTTCTTTATGGATTCCAAGTCAAAAGACATGGCATCCAATTTGGCATGAAGTTGTTCAACCTTCTCATTACGGGTCTCTGCTGCTCAGGATAAGAGTAAATTGAAGAGTTTTGGTTAAGCTGGTTCTTGAACCAGATTCGCCCCATAACTGTTGGTCTGATACCAATTTGTTATTGGTCCCAATTTGGATCTAGTTATGGTCTTTTGAATTAGAGGGAATTCAGGTTGGAGATTGGGTATTCTTTAGAAGGGTTTTCTTCCCTCTATCAGTGGGTGACAGACTTAGAGAGAAATCTGGCAATATCTTCCTTAGAGCTCGTTAAGAGAGGAACTTCTACAATCTCTGAGTTTTAGAAACTCAAAACCTTTTTCATAAAATTCTGCTTACATTTTCCTGATATAACAGCTTTTTAAACAACTAAATGTAAGCTTAAAACTTACCCACTACCCACTTAATAACTACCCATTACAATTAAAGTTACTTTGCTTAACCACCCACTAATAGCCACTAACAAAGAAACTGATAATAACATGATAAACACTAATAACTAAATAAAAACACCGTAAATAGCAGTTAAAACTACCCTAAGTCAAGCAGCGCCATAACATGCTGTATATAGTCTTTATTTGCTGTAACTTGCTTTTAATTTTTTTCTATTGTTATTTCGAGAATAGTAAAATAATAATAAAAAAAGGGAGTTTAATAATCAACAAAGAAACTGATAATAACATGATAAACACTGAATAACTAAATAAAAACACCGTAAATAGCAGTAAAACTACCCTAAGTCAAGCAGCGCCATAACATGCTTATATAGTCTTTATTTGCTGTAACTTGCTTTTAATTTTTTCTATTGTATTTGAGAATAGTAAAATAATAATAAAAAAAGGGAGTTTAATAATCAAATTTTTATATAAATGCGTTCGATGGTTCACATTAATTTTGCTGAGGGAGTAGCTTGGACTATACTTCACCGTCCTTAAATGGCACTGATTTATTTAGTTTTGGGGCTCAATTCATTTTTTTGGCATGGTCATCCTGTAATTTTTTGCTTTTTGTACAGAAACAATTTCAGTTATCACCAATGATGGCCGCAATATAGTGGTACGTTATAATTTTTTTTCCCCAATATATTTGCATGACTTGTATCTCTTCAGTATTTCCATTTGATTTTTTGTATTATCATCTTAATTGTTAAGGGTTTCTAATTCAGGGAATCTTGAAAGGCTTTGATCAGGCCACAAATATTATCCTCGATGAATCTCATGAACGTGTTTACTCCACTAAGGTGATCCTTTGATTCTTTTACCATAAAAGAATACGTGGTTGATTAAATTAGGTGCGAGTTGCAGTAAATTGTTTTTGGTATTGCCTTATGAAATTCGATAGACTCATAGTTATCAACTATCTAGAGATATTAACTAGTTTTATACAAGTAGAATTTCTCTAGTTTGAATGGCGTAATTCTAGCTACTATGAGTCTACAGTGTAAGTCTATAGCTTGAACAGTTGAAGGTGATATAAAATAAAATATACTTGCACCATTAGAATGACGGTTCATTGATTTGCAGGAAGGTGTTCAACAACTTGTTCTGGGTTTGTACATAATACGGGGTGACAACATGTAATTTCTCTTCTCATTGTTGCTTGTGTTTCATAATCTTGATGTGTCCTAAAATGGGACCTCATATTTTCTGATTGATTCTTACAGAAGCATTGTAGGAGAACTGGATGAGGAGCTGGATTCACATCTTGACTTGTCAAATCTAAGAGCTCATCCTCTGAAGCCTGTCATCCATTGACCAACTATGGTTATTGTAGAGCAGATGATAGTACAGAATCTTACATCTTTGGTAACTTATTGTACGGAAATGAAAGTAATGATTTTTGTTCTTACTGCCGCAACAGTGTAATTTCCAATGCTTGTAGAACTAGATTTAATTTAATCAGAATTCTGCTAGTACTTGGTTTCTCTTTAAATTGTTAGCATGGCACTTTCTTTCTATTTAGACTTATATGGTTAGATTTGATTTTCCTGAATTAGATTTGATTTTCCTGAAGGGTTCAATCTTACTAGAATTCCATTGCAACAATAAATGCCTGGCAACAGGGCAAGTGTACGTGGGGCTTGTAGAGGCAAACGTTCATTAAAGAGATCTCGTACAAGCTGTTACCATATCATGTATGACATGATAGGCATACTCTCAATGATTTTGCTCCGGCTAAATGCATAGATTTCCATCTAAAATTTATGCCATTTGTCTTGTAATAATTTTAAATTTGTGGGAGACATATCATGATATAACACTTTCACATTTCAGTAATAATTATGTTCCTCGTTAAAATAAAATAACTTTGTAAGCGTTTAAGTGTGACTTTGGACTTTTATATTTTGTCTTACTGACTTCTATATATTATTATTGAAATATAAAAGTGTAAGATCATGATAGGTTTTCTGCAAATTTGAGGGTGTCACAAGACAAATCGCGTAAACTTTAAGGGTAAATTTATGTATTACGCTTATTTTGCTCTATCGTTTTGCTTATTAGATCTCCCTTGTCCTAACAGAAAAAGTTATGTAAGTGGATTATCTTTTAGTACAGTTTGTGGTCGTAAGGTTAAATGTCACTTGATAATTCACAAACAAAACTTTTTCCAAAATAAACATCATTTTAGGTAAATAATTTGATTACTGAAACAGTCTATCAAGTCTTATACAATTGAACTCATCATACCAATAAATAAAAGTGCTCACAAGTTAATATATCGGTAGTTGAGAGTAGACTTAGATATTAAATTAGAGGCAAATTCTGCTTCTTCTCATTATTATTGTTATCGTTATTCTTATCATTATTGTTATTGTTATTGTTACTGATAGAAGTAAAATTTAAAAAGCTTAAGAAATGCTAGAATTGCTGTTAAGATGTAAAATGGAAGGACTTTTAATACCTAGCAAGGATCTTGATCATAAATAATAAACGTGCTCATAAGTTAATATATCGGTAGTTTAGAGTATACTTAGATATTAAATTGGAGGCAAATTCTGCTTCTTCTTATTATTATTGTTATCATTATTCTCATTATTATTGTTATTGTTATTGTTAATGATAGAAGTAAAATCTGAAAAGCTTAAGAAATGCTATAATTGTTATTAAGATGTAATGTATCCACCAATGAGACATGATACATATATTTATAGTAATTTCCTAACTGTAATGGAAGAACTTTTAATACCTAACAAGGATCTTGATCATAAATAATAAACGTGCTCATAAGTTAATATATCGGTAGTTGAGAGTAGACTTAGATATTAAATTGGAGGCAAATTCTGCTTCTTCTCGTTATTATTGTTATTGTTATTGTTACTGATAGAAGTAAAATCTGAAAAGCTTAAGAAATGCTAGAATTGCTGTTAAGATGTAATGTTATCCACTAATGACATGATACATATATTTATAGTAATTTCCTAGTTGTAATGGAAGGACTTTTAATACCTAACAGGGATTTTGATCATAAATAATAAATGTGCTCATAAGTTAATATATCGGTAGTTGAGAGTAAACTTAGATATTAAATTGGAGGCAAATCCCACTTCTTCTCATTATTATTGTTATTGTTATTGTTACTGATAGAAGTAAAATCTGAAAAGCTTAAGAAATGCTAGAATTGTTGTTAAGATGTAATGTTATACACTAATGAGACATGATACATATATTTATAGTAATTTCCCAACTGTAATGGAAGGACTTTTAATACCTAACGAGGATCTTGATCATAAATAATAAATGGTGATCTTACACATTAATTGCCCAGTTTAAATGACTCTTTGATCGATACATTTCAAATCTAAACAGTGCTTGAGCTATTTACATGTTCGGGTATCTTGCATGCTCGACATATTTATTAGTTCCTATCCAAAGTCCCCTAACATTGTGTTGATCATTTATGTATAGCCTTGAAGAGCCATGCGTCCATTTAAACTGCTCATCCCATTAACTTTGGCATTTAAGTTAGTTCCTTTTCTTTTTGAAAATTGATGACTTCCACGTGTGCCCTACTTGTCAGTTTACTTTATGCATATATACTCAAGTTTTCAGGCGTCAAATGAGGTCTTGTCTTTAATGAATGCAACCTTGAAATTATCTATGCACATTAAACGACGATGATGCTTTGAATAATATACATTTATTAAGTCGCGTCTCCTCGCGTCTCCTCGCGTCTCTTGATTTCTTTTGTACTGTATCTCTTCAGTTTCCCTCTTGCATCTTTTCCTTGTATAAATCTACAGTTTTGGAAAGAAAACACCTTCAACTCCACTATCATCTCCTTCAATTACTATCCTTCCTGCAAAAAACTTTTCAAGCATTTTAAAGAGAGGTAATTTATTTTTCTTCTTTTACTTGTTTTTTATTATGGGTTCTCATGCTCCTCCATCGAACAAGGGTAAATCCATTGTCGTTGAATCCTAATCGAAGTCTAGTTCCGAGGCCATGAAATCTATCGATTTTCTAACCAGTAGCCAATTAAACACTTCTCCAGAGAGAATTAGGGCCACAAGCATTGTAATTTGGGATAACAATACTCCTCCTCGCCTTAACCGACCTTCTAATCCTTTTTCAACCCCTGCAAAAAAAATCCAAAAAGGTTGCCAAAAAGAGAGAAACAGTTCCACAAAGAGAAAATAAAGTTTCAAAGCTAAGGTCTCTGTTAGAGGAAGGAGATATGGGTAGGATTAGGGTAAAGTATTCAATTCTTGAGGAATTTGAGTTATTAACTGTAGGTGAAAATGTACGTGCCAATTCAAAAACAAAGCCCTAATTTCTTGATTTTATATGAGGAAGATTTGAGAGCTGGTGTTTGCCTTCCTTTACAAGTGGAACTTTGTGAGTATCTGAATCAAATTGGAGGTTTTATTTCTCAGCTCACCCCTAATAGCATTAGGGTAGTGTTAGGGCTGAGTATTTTAGCTCGGCAGGCTAACCTGGAATTCTCCCCTTATGTGATAAATGGGTTGTAATGTTTAAACAATCGTGAAAGGGAAGATGATCCCCATCTGTCTACTAGAGACCATGTTGGGGCGTTCATAGGAATGTCTGGCTCTTTAAAAGGAAGATAGAACGAGAAATTCTTTGTAGTGAGAGCTAAAAGGATTTCAACATAAACACCTGTTGGTCGAGAGCTAGTTCCTCTTTTCATGAAGATAGACTTTTAACCAACAAAGAAAAAACTAGCATTGACACCTTAGTTGAATATGCTAAAAGACCCATATACATACAGGTTTATTGGAACTTCAATATCTTGTGGTTCGTTCAGGAAAACGTTCATATCGAAGAAAAACTAATCAAGGTACTTACTGCATAGTATGTATGTCCGACCTCTTTTGAACTAACTTTTAACGTTTTCCACTTATTGTAGATATGGCGGGCAATGACTTTCTAAAGAAAGCAGAAGAGCGAAGAAAAAAGAAAAAGGAGGCATAGGCTTTTGCTCGAACCAAGAAGAAAACATCTAACAAGAAGGCTTGGTGCTAAGGGATTAGCAAGAAACAAATACTACCCCTACACCTTCAGATCACCCAATACCAGCAAAATCTTCTTTGCCTTCTGATTATTCCACAATCGAGCACTCTGCTCCTCCTAATGTCCAGATTAATCTTGCTCCTCCTTCCTTCTAATGCTTAGAAGAAATAGGCAAGACTGCTGTAGAGGCACTGGGTTTATAGTCGATGAAGATGAAATAACTTTATCAAAAAGGAAGAAAAGGCTTCGATCTGAAGTTACTGGAGAATGTCTTAGCCGCCCAGATGTGGAGTCTTACATCAAATCTGTGGATGGAACTTTTGCCAAATGCTTTCAAAGTCCTGTGAGTAGGGATCTTGCTAGGCTCTCCGTGCTTGAGCATGATTGGAATTATTTTGATTCAATGGAGGAGAGTGTTATTTTTTATGTCATGAACTGTAATGTATTTATTGTAATTTTTTTTTTACTTTTTGCTCTTCTTTCTTTCTATTTCTTACTCTTTTTTTTAGCTTGTTCAACAAGTTGCGGTCATGAAGAAGTGTGTTCGTGATCTTCAGATCCACTGTACTAAATTGGTTGCAGCAAAAGAATGAGGTGATCCAACTGGCTGATACTGCCCGAGAGATGCTAGAAAAGTCTGTTGTTACCCATAATCAAGCAATGTATGCTCTGAAAGAAGAACTCAATTGCGTGCATGGGGAATATAAGAAAATTACCAATGAGGCTTTGATCACTAGTTCAAAGAATATCCAATTGGAAAAGGACGAAGTTGTGAGCCCCCTTCCAAGTACCATGGGAAAGATCTAAAGGATCGAATCTAACCTCGCGGGCCCATTGATCGGTTCGTCACGGAACTGATAGGAACTCCTTACAGTTTCTTTTTTTTTATTACGGCTCGGTTTAGTGCTTATCTTTGAAACTCAGACCTGTTTGCGAAAAAAAAAAAACCTATGTCGAAAAATCACGACAAGGCTCTGATACCATGTAGTTTTTAAAAAGAGAGAGTTTATTTCTCTATTTTCTGTTGTTATTGTCCAGTCTCTATTCTATTATTTTTAGCGGATGGTTTCTCAACAGTTTGCGGTTCAGTGGAAAAGAAAATAGGTGTCGTGTATCGTGATCCTTCAATCCACTGTTGACTAAATTGGTCTCTCAGCAACAAGAATGAGGTTGATCAAACTTGGCTGATACTGCCCGAGAGATGTAGAAAAGTCTGTTTGTTACCCTAATCAAGCAATGTAATGCTCCTAAAGAAGAATCTCAATTGCGTGCATGGGGAATATTAAGAAAAATTACCAATGAGGCTTTGGATCACTAGTTTCAAAGGGAATATCAATTTGGAAAGGAACGAAGTTTGTGAGTCCCCCTCCAAGTACCATTGGGAAACGATCTTATAGCGATACGAATCCTAACCCTCGCTTAGGGCCTCATTTCTCTTGATCGGGGAGGGGGGCCGTGTGCGAGTGCGGGACGGGGTGGGGAGAGTGTCGCGGGGGGGGGTGGTGGGTGCG